AGCAGATTTATTATAACTGTGATAATCAGCTCTACAGTTGTTACATGAACCAGAGTTATTTTATTATAACTGTGATAATCGGCTCTACGATTGTTACATGAACCAGAGTTATTTTATTATAACTGTGATAATAAGCTCTACAGTTGTTACATGAACCAGTTATTTTATAACTGCGATAATAAGCTCTACAGTTGTTACATGAACCAGAGTTATTTTATTATAACTGTGATAATCAGCTCTACAGTTGCCTCATGAAGCAGAGTTATTTTTGTATACGTGTGGTCCAATTTTCTATATCTATAGAGATTGTGTTGAATGTAAGAACACTGGCATTTTAAACCAGATTTGTTAATGAAATTGAAAGAGCTGGGACTCACCAATGAAATTTCATCTTTGTTTCAGTGTTTAGCTTAATGCATGCTTATTCTGCATGTTTTTTATTCAGTTCATTTTCAAGTAAAGTTTGTTTTTTCTCTTTCATTTAAATATTGTTGTTTTTAATTTTAGTAAAGCTTATTTTACTCTTATTTCAGTAGTTCTTTACTAGAATAATCAGTCATTCATATGTCTTGTTTACAGTTGGTTAATAAGGTTATTCTCTTTGTCATCACACAATCTTGTTGCTTTCTTTTCACATGTAACAAATCACTGCACCTGTTCTTCCATACACCATATCCTCAAATCTCTTGTTATTGTAAATATTAGCTAACTGTATGTTTAGTTTAGTCCTTGAAATACCCACACATGTAAAAATATTCTGTAAAAATAATGGAAACAAGGATAATTCATTGTGGAAAATCTGTAATTAACAATATCCAATATCTTTTGCCTAGCCTGTAACTGAGTTTCCCTGTGGTAATATACATTACTGAAGCAATACGACATCCGAACCTATTGACATGAGTTGTTTCTTAAATAACAAATAAAACATAGTGGTTATAAGTCAGTGCACACTGTGTCATTATGTGATTGATCGTTAGGATATCGTAGTGCTATGCTGATTATCTTAAAAATGTATTCATAATCTGAACACTGTTATTGTGGTCATACCTTATGTATAATTTTAACATATACTACTGTGCTGATAACTTTGAAAATTATTCTTGGTCTGAAAGCTAAAGTACTGTTGTTACATAATTTGTTGCTAATGTATTCATTAGCGGGAGATTATATCCGAACCATGAAAGCTGAGAGACAACAACAGCAAGAGGAGGCTGAATTGTTGAGAGAACAAATAGGAGGACTGAACAAAACAATCAGGTTAGTTTGAAATGCATTATAAAAAAGTAGAGAAAAATAACTGTGCCTTCTAAATTGTTTTTGGGTTGTTATTGAATATATCATTGGGCCTTATCAAGTTTCATACAGTGGAGAGGAAAAGTGAACAGTTTTATGACTATATTGGTATCTGGACATAACTTTTATAGTGTTAAAATGAGTTGTGAGAGCTGACAGTTTTATGAATGTAGTCTAGGCTGAGTTAAAAGAGCTGACTGTTTTATGAATCTATTTTTTGGCTAAAAGTAGAAATTATGGTGGTATTAACTGGAGTCAGGAGAGAGCTGAATGTTTTATGAATCTAGTGATAACCAAAGAACTGCTCAATATGAAAATAGTGAATAATACTAGTATGTGTGGTGTATTTTATTACTTTTGGAAATTGTATAAAGATAAAATGTACAGTAATTCCTTTTAATGGATTTTATATCAAATAATGTTATTAATCAGGACATGTGATGCAGTATTTCACAAGTTGATTGAACTAGTTATTACCAGTAAAAAGAAATCTCACTGTACGTAAGGAAGATCTTTCCTGTTATATAGCTATGCACATAATAGTCAGAAAAGCTGGGCACCACCATTTATAGGATTAATTTGTGTACTGCTCCTCTGACACAGATTTTGAATAATTTGTTTCTATATATATTTCAAGATGTTTAAAAAATCTTATGTAGAGGTTAGAAAAATTAGGAAGGTTATAATTTAAAAGAATAAAAACAGTGGTTTCTTCTTACTGAAATTTATCATAAACTTTCCCAAAATGGATCATTGGTCTAATATGTACTCAAAAAAAAACATGATATTCAGATTATTAATATTTTCATTTATATAGTTTGTTAACGATCTGTTTTGGGGGTTATTTTTCCTACACAACTTCTTTTTAAAAATATCTTTACTGTTAAAAATTTGAAAAAATACTGCAGAAACATATTTTGTGGAATATGGCAAACTCTTAGGTGTTTATCATATGAAAATTTTTGTGCTGTTTAGTTTAAATATCTATTACTGATATTTTTAAGTCCAAATTAAATTTGAGGGATATTTGAATGTTGTTTCTTTGTATGGTTTAGTTCACTCAGTATTTTTAACTTACTTAACCAGGACTGGTAATTTTATTATAATCTCTGCATGTTGTAGTATGTATCAGAACCAGTTGCCTGCTACCGGAGCACCCATGCCTTGTCAGCGAGCTAATAAAATGACTGAAATGTTTAAGGATTATGTGAGGCAAAGAACACTTCAGAACTGGAAGTTTTGGATTGTATCTTTTCATTGTTTTGTGAGATAAGGCTTAACTGTATTTCAGTGTCTGCGTTTGTTTATTAAATTTATTGTAACACTAAGTTGTAACAATGTGTTTTTATAAAAAAAAAAATTTTCTACACACACAGCTTATTGATTAGAAGTTATTTAATAATACTAGTGCTTGTTTATAAATCATGGATTATAAAATATTTAATTGCGAATGAATTAAAAACCTTGAATATTTGCTAAAAAAGAAATAATTTTTACTTTTGCTGTTGATAAATGTTTACATGTTCAAGAGAAAATTGGCATCTAATTTGATTTACTTTGATCATGGATTTTTTTTGTTGTTGTTTCTCTTTATAACAAATGTTTGTTTCACAATTTCCTGTTTTTATGAAATAGTTCACAGTTACCTATTTTTGTGAAGAAGTTATAGTGACATATTTATATTATGTGTGATACTCTGAAGAAATTGCAATACAAAATTTATATGTTTGTCCTTAACTACTGTTTAGTTTAGCATGATAATGGAGTCTCTTCTAGATTCTTACAACAATTCACTGTCCACTGCCAACTTGGATGAAATGTGTAAAACTGTACTCACATGGCTGGAACAGCACTGTACTCTCACAGCTTTGAGGCCAGGTGAGACACATGCTTTTTTTTGCTCAAGTTGTATTAATTAAAGTTGACCCTAGTTTAAGGTTACAGAAAGCTCAGTTATTTTGGGGTTAATTATTTGTTACACAACTTAAATACATTAAAAACTTTTATTTTTTATTGTGCAATGGACAAGAAACTTAGTGCCTGTATTTATTTTAATTAAATATGTGATATTCATATTAATAGGATTGTGTCCCAGGCAATAAATCACATCTCTCACACAGAAAGCTATCTTCCTTGCTCGTCTGCCTACAAAACTTGCATGCCACTAGCCTTGAGGCAACTCCCACCTAATCTCTTGTACTTTAACATGAACTGCACTAGTGCATGATGCCATCATTCTGCAACAAAAGCTCTCCACCAATAGGAGGGTGACACAACATCCATGCGCAGTAACTCCCCCAATGCACTTGCACTCATGATAACTTCATTCTCTTTCTCAGCACTGAATGACACAGGCATGTTTAAAATGTAGTCAACTTTCAATTTGCTGAGACTTGCACTAGTCAACAAAACTGGTTTTCATTATACTTTGGACTTAGTTCTTATTGCTTCACTTTGTTACTATGAATTCAAAAGTTCATGTGACTTCTACTTACTCTTGTGTGAGTGAAGGGATTTCACACTCAGGACCTGTTTCAACTATGGCTTCAGGAGGATCGTTAACTGAGAACAATGTGAAGTCAATTGTACAATGGGTTGTGGGTTTCATTATGCATGCTGAGCCTTCTGTTCCTGCCCATTCTTCTGGTATCCCTTCTCCTCAAATCGAAACTGAACAAGAGGAAGACAAATTCCAAAACACGCATACTTCCGCTGACACTTATAGCCATTTCTCGATCTTGCCATCTAAACATTGTGTTTGCTTGCTCCAGTCTTTTATACCCCACTCGACTGCCCTCGGCAAATTCTAATTTTCGAAACTTTACACCGGCCCTGACACGCCCTCTATGCAGGTACTGTATGCTGACAATATAATCACTTTTTATTGACAAAGTACTTGCACTAGGAGTCACATTGAAAGTAGTCTGGTGTTCTTTTTGTTGTTTTTTTTTTTCCCATTGCCAATATTTCATTGGTTTTATTCTGTGGTTCAACAACAACAAAATTTGCAGGTATAAATTCCCGTATAATGGTTTTTGGCATGGAGGCTAACTAGACCTTGTCCATTCCTCCTTTGTTGTGTGGTGGTAGTTGGTGGAAACTGTCCATGACCAGATTCAGGGCGAGTTGGAGTCCTTTATGTAGCCCAGGAAGTTGTGAGTTGCCTTTTCATCATGAACCTGAATATACTGGGGAGAATTTAGACACTGTTTTCTGCTCCTTCTTTCACTAGATGCCTCTACTGAGAGCTCAGCCACCTGATCAGCCACCTTCTGCCCATTTTTCTATAGTTAGTTATGCAAGTTTGTGGAGTTTTGGGATTAACCCCATTGCTGTTGAGTCTACCCCTGTCTTGTCAGATAGATCTCGGGGCAGATTCTTTAGTTTTCTTCCTTTCCCTGATATTGTTGTGCACATCTGGATGTTTGCAATGCAATTACAAGAGGATATTGCCATGCCTTGTCCCCTTCGTTTATCAGAACAACATGCCCTGGCTTATCATCCGGCTGCAGTATATTTGGCTAGTCAACGGTTGGATTTGTCAGGTTCCAGGTTAGGACTTGTTATCACTCTTAACATTCACGGATTCATTTGACTCTTACTACTGTATTGTGATATTTCTCTTCCCTTCCTGTCTGCAGGATATCAACGCTGTCCTTGTCAATTTGACGACAAACTAGGACCTTTATTAGTTACCCCTATGGCTCATTTGATCCCTTTAGGCCTTGCCTTGGTGTTGTGATTGGTCTTTGGCTGGGACTTGTTGAATTGAGATGCCTTGTTGGAGGGTATTTGTTTGCTGTCCACTACTCTTCGTGATTTCTGTGAGATGCCCTTTCTTTGGCCTTACTAGCTTGTTGGAGTCCCTGAAACTTTTGAAGCTCAATTTAATACAGTTCCATGCTTTCCCGTTTGGATTCAGCACCATATGTTTCTGCCGATTAGTATGGGCCTTTGAGCAGCATCTCCATTTTCTGGGTCTGTGCACACACACACACACATCACTATTTGGAAGATTGACTTCTTTTGGGGCCACCCGTCACATTGCTGAACTACATCCACAGATTCTCATTTCCACAGCCAGAAGTGCAGGCTTCATTATTAGGTTAGAAAAATCCATTCTCTCACCAACTCAATACATGGTCCATCTTGAGGAGTTTTTCAACACGCATTTGTGTCGAGCCCAACCATCTTCCCTCAGACTTCACACTGAGGAAAGGATTATCAGGCATTTGCTTACGTCACTTTCTCCTAATCCGCAGATGGTTCTGTCTGTTTTGGGGATTTGGGCTTCCTTAGAATCCCTTGGACCATTGGATCATGCCCATATGTGATCCCTTCAGTGGTCACTTTCTGACCAGTGGCTCATGCATACCAATCCTTTGGATCAAACAGTCTCTTGGCTTGAGAACACTTTGTAGATCTCAAGTAGTAGCTTGACTGGAACAATGCAAATATTGGGGCCCAGATACCACCTCCTCTTCTGAAATCCATCTCTTCACGAATGGTGGGATTTTCTTCTGGGGCAGAAATTCCAGGATATTTGGACTGACAACGAAACTACCCTGCATATCAACATTCTCGAACTTCGTCCTCTCTTTCTCTGCAATGTTGTCATGATCCATTCAGACAACTCCACGGTGGTTTCATATCTTTCTCGTACAGGAGGTACTCAGTCTCTGGATCTTATTTTTCTGGCTTTGGGTCTTCTTTTTCGGCTCATTCCCATGATGGCATCCATCTTTTGGCCTGTCACGTGCTAGGGGTTATGAATTTGATAGTAGATCATCTTTCTCAACCCCATTAGATTCTTAGATGTTCCATTAGGAGGTCTTTCAATGGATTTGTTCGGGTTTCCGATGATCGATGCCTTTGCAACCCATTGGAATGCTTGCCTACAGTTCTGGTCTCCAGTTCTGCATCCACGAGCTCTGGCGATAGATACTTTCCATTAGGACTGGATGGGATTATATTTGTATGCCTTTCTTCCTGTTCGTCTCTTACCCAGAGTCTTGTCTATGATTCATTCCACCCCATGTCGGATTCTCTGGACTGCATCCTTTTGGCCTGCTCAGTCATGGTTTCCTATTCTTTGGCTGCTCCAGGAATGTCCACCACTACCTCTTTGCTCCTCCTTGTTGAGACAACCTTGGTCCAACTCCAGCTTCATGCATGGAAGTTATGCAGTCCTTTGCCCTACATACGGGTTTAACTTCTTAAGTTTCTTTTTATTTGACTAAAATCCTTCGTCGACCTACTATGGCAATCTGTCAACGTAAATAGACTACATTTCGTCAGTGGTGTCTTCAGTGAGCCTTCAACCACTTCATCCAACAGTCTCCATAGTTTCACGTTATTTGAAGTGGAGTTTTGAGAGACATTTAGGTTCTTCTACCTTGCATTATATACAGCATCGTTAGCTGCTCCCTTTTGCTATTCTACATATACGACAGTTTTTGACTCTCCTGTGCTATATCATATTAAGATCCTTTCATTCTTCGACCCAAATTACCTTTTTAATTGCCTGATTAGGACTTTAGAATAGTTTTACATGTATTTTCATTTTATACCTCCTATTCATTGTATCACCTTTCCATAAAGATATATTTTTATTATTGTTAGCTTCTGGACACTGCTGTTTTGATTTATTTGCCATCCCTGTTCAGCAGTTTCTGTATCATTCCACCTATGTTTTGTTCTATCAAGACAGATCCTTTCTACCGAACACTCTTGCTGCTGGAGAAGAGAATAAATACTTTTCTCCTATTCATTTACCAGGCATTTCGGATTGTTTGTTGTGTCCAGTCAGAGCACTTCACTGTTCTGTGGCTTGTACAGGACTGTTCAGGGGCCCTAGGAACCAGCTTTTTTATTCATTGGTGTCCCGGGATTTATCACCCATTACATTACCCAGCAGGCTTCAGAAATTGATTCTTATAGCCTATTTGGTGTTATCTGTTGAAGATCGAAATATGCTTCACGTCACTTATCACCAGATTTGGCATCTATCAATATCATTAGCTACTTATCTGAACTGTTCTCTGGGGGATATTTTGCAGACCCATGGCTGTGTTGACTACCTCAGCTAGATTTAACAAGGAGGTGTTTCACTTTCTTACCTGATTAACAGTTTTTCTTTTAGGGTCCCTTTTTATTTCTTTTCAATTCCGCACTAGCAACCTTTATATCGGTTCATGGTTGCAACAGGCTGCTCTGTTGAGATGAGGTGTTCCATAAAACCATCTAGAGACAATTCTGGATGGTAGTATTATCTTACGATACAAATCCAATGGACCACTACTCATGGACTATCATGAGTAAAGCTAAAGGAGATTTTGCCAGTCCCTGCTGATCTTTGAGTCGGGGTCGGTTTGCTTTTAAAACTTAGGGAACATGGTTCACTTGTTGCACTGTCTCCAGAGACCTGTTCATTGGGACTCCCCACTGTGCATGCCCCCCCCCCCCAAATTCTACTAGCGGAGCTAGGGAGTCCTTACCACAACCTAGTTCCCAGTTGCTGGTATGGTGGACAGAGGATTTCCTTTGGAGTGTTGAGTTTTCTCCTACTTGAGTCCCTGGAAATTTTTCCCAGATGTTGGTAGGAGCAGGACCAACCTACATAGGAGTCTACTCGTAAAACCGGTCCAGATTTGATGCTCAGCTATCTGGTGGGGGTGTACTTGGACCCTCTTATGAACACTGTCGGGTCTTAGGTTGTCCATGCAGGGGGTCCACTGTCTCCTTGTAAATCCCAACACAACGCGGTCCCATCTTGGGCCTTTGATGGAACAGAGTTCCATGTCCTTTCCATAATTCCATGGGTAATTCCTTGCCCATTTGGTTGGGGAGTGAAGATGACTTCATAAATCCAGACCAATGCCCTCTATGCAGGTACTGTATATAAGCACTGTATGCAGACAATATTAATCACTTTTTTTAGAACTTACCCATCTGAGTCAC